TGAAGACCAGTTCTGGAGTGACAATCTGCATTTCGGTGACGAGAAATGCATTCCAAGCACTCTCAAATTCCCAGTCAAAGTGTCCAGAAGACCCTGCATCTTGTCACCATTTTTACCTAACAGGACTTTGTCATTTGCGTATTTCAGATCTACCAAGGATTCTCCTGCGACAAGATCAATTTCTGTGAAGTTGCGCGAGGACAGAGAAAGCTCCATAAGAACGTCTACGATAAACTTGAGTAGGAATGGTGAGAGTCAACATCCTTGACGGACACCAATCGATGTACACAGCTCACCTGACAACTCATAATAGGCTCTAACATGCTCACGGGTGTTACAGTAAAGGACCTTCAACAGGATGATATACTTACTCCGCACCTCTTAGTGATAGACACTGCCATAAGATCAATCGACGGAGTCGAACAGTCTTCAGGCCAAAAAATACAGCTAGTATCCGGTGTCGGCAGGTGTATCTTTGTTCCAGAACCTGGCTGGGAGTGAATATTTGGTAGATACATCCGCGACTAGGTCTGAAACCTACCGGTTTGGTATTTTCAGGTTCGCTGTTCACGGGCTCCACTCAGACGTCTAATGATTGTAGAGCCTAGGACTATAAACACAATGATCGTCAGGCCGATTCCCTTGGGGTTATCACAAGAGGACTTTTAGCCATTCTGGAAGAGAGACAATCAGAGAGTGAGAGAAGTTAGAAGAGATCATATCTGACTCCCGTATACTAGTTAACACTTCAGTTAATCTGTCCAATAGACCTCAGCCACCGTCCCTAAGTACCTGTACCACTAGTCTATCAGGTCCTGCTGCTTTCCCTCAATTCAGGTTACCTACAGCTTTTCCAACTTCTATAGGGGTTGGGGATCGTATCTCAATGTCCTACTCAAGACCTAACTTGATAGCTGTTAACGAAATGGTAGCTGAAAGTCAGCTGAACTGAAGTAGTCCACCTTTCGCTTCAGTCATCTCCTCTGAAAGTGAACCACAGACCCATTCTTCTTCGCTATAATCTCATTAACCACTGACTTCTTTGTCCCAGTTTCCTTAATAAGTCCAAATAACTATCCACTTTTACCTAGAGACACTCACCGTCTTTTCCATCTATTAAGCCTTCGCTGCCCACCACTGTTCGCGGTCAATGTGTGGACTTTTTTTCAGTTTACGTTTGAGTTGCGTTCCCTCCTCATTGTACTCAAAGCTTACAGGGATGCGTCTGCGTGCATCCATTAATTCAGAAGATCCACTGGCTCTTTCGAATCACTGTTTAAGAGTCGGGTATCGTCTTTATGGTTGTTTTTACAAAAGACTGCAGATGGCTTCAAGCTTCTTCTGTATGAGTGCTGTTGATCTTTTCCGATAACGGTCTAGCCAGAATATCGCTGAAAGTAGCTAAGGTGCCGTCATTGTCGAGCTGCACTCAGAATGGTCTTCCATGTAGGCGCAGAAACGCACACTCAAACCAACGCGTGGTTGCAATCGAAATAAGTGCTTTCGAAGGAGTAACATTGTTCTACTGAACCTTTCCAGCGACAACTGATAGCAATATGGTCTATCTGTGTCTGACATTGAGTTGAGGTTAGTGGACGCCACGTCAGACAATATTTATATTTTTATACCTGAAGTATGAGCTGGTCAGAAATAAGTGGTTGTCTGAGCACAGTTGTAGCAGGCAATCGCCGTTATCTGCTGGTTCGGATGGGTTTCCAAAAACGCCACCCAAGTGGCTTTCTATCTGAATTGGCCCACCCACTTGCGCATTGAGATCATCTGCTACGTTAACCCCGTTTGAATCCTTGACTTTCAGTAGGAAGATAAACAGTCTTCAGTAGAACTTCATTTCATCTAAACTGCAGTCAGTGGATACGTGAACAAAGACTACAAAGAGACGACGGCGAGTTTCGCCACACTGTTTAGGCCTCGCAGTCGAACAGCGTAGGGGCAACTGTCAACTGGGATCTACCTTAGCACTTAATGCGGTAACTACACCTGCCAGACAACGAGAACTAGCTATCAAATCTCCAGAAAGTCGAGTGGCGAATTTTGCTGCATTTACCATATTGACTGCATGAGGTCAAGTGAATAACCGCACTTCGATCCTATGTGAATTTCTCACGAACACACATGGCCTGAGTTGCCAGAGTCCTGGCTAGCGAAGTTTGCTGGGTGATTTGAAGGGGGGTGCGAACATTAAAAGCTCATACATGTACTTTGGCGCGGTTTCAGGGACTGGGAATGCTGTTTCATGAACTCAGATTGTTGTCGAGAGCTGCAGACTTGGAACAAATTAAAGATGATGTAGGATTATTGACCGAGAGGTGTGAACAACGAAGAGAAAGTGATTATGTTAAAGGTGAACAGTGATCAGAGGGAAATCAAGTGCTGACAGTTTTACTACTGGAACAAGACAGTTAACTAATGATGATCAATTCAATGTGTATTTATGAATTCAAAAGCTTTGCCTATGAACGCCAATGAATATGTAATTAGTTCGATGACCTTGTTTACCAGCAGTCATTTTCAACCTTTACGTAACACTTCAGACTTGATTCGTTACTTTTTTGTTGTACTCGGATGATTTTTCACCCTACTCAAATATAATTCATCGCTACATAATGATTATCTGATCCTTAGTGAACAAACATACACGAATTCATACTCCAGATAGATGTATATGAACAGATAAATATTTCCAGACTTCTTCGCCTTATATCGTGGTCGCTCTGTTTATATTGATTTCATTGCATAGCTAACACTAAGGAGATTACCATTGTATCTGAGAGGAAATTTACATCGATTAGATTTGCTCTCTACTTACTTATAACAATGACTTCCGGATACCGAAATAGTCTTACAATATGCCTTACATTGGTGATTGTATTTCACCTGTTCCCCAGGATTTAGAGCCTGAAAAGAAAGTTATTGATAGCGATTGTTCGCTCAAACTACTCTTGTTTTCAATAGCTCATGGAGATGCTCAAATTAATTTACTTTTCTTGAAGGTTTTCTTGTTCATGGCCGACAGCAGCAATTGGATTGCGTATTTTTCCTAAGCTACTTTTTAGTTTATCAATAGTATATATTTTATCCCGAAAATATGTAAGTTGTATTTCTGTGTGTCAAAACTTCTATTCCAGACATGAAACCTTTGTATTTTCTACTCATCATTACGTTTTGCTGATCAAATAAGTTTAATTAGTGTTATGGTAATTCTTCACTAGAAAACGAATACGCCATTCTCTTATCTGTTTTGGTCATAAAAACAAGATAACAGATTCAAAGATAAAGTTCTGTACAACTCGACCACGGATAGATTCATATATTATATCATGAACCACACATGAAGCGTGAAATCTGAGACACCTTTTCGCCGTATCGAGCTTTGAGCCTGAGATCCATTTGTTTAGTGCCTAAAAGAAGGAGTTGAAGTTCCACAAATATTCCAATGATCAGGAATCGCATCACAAAGTTGAAATGTCCGGTGATTTGCGCAGGAGGTCTAGCATATTAGGTAAAGTGAGTGACTGATAGCTGCTACCCTGAAGTGGCGGTCTGGCTTGCATATCACAAGGACTCAACGAGCTATGCTGGTGAAGGAAACTTTGTTTAGAGATTAATCGACAAAAAAAGGCCAACAAATCTGAAGTGGCTTAAATTTCTCTCATTATTACGAACGAGACCACAGTTACTTAAGTGAGTTGTAAATTCGAGTGATGGGTCGCGGACGTCAACTCTATCCATTTTCAATTAACTTTGTTGTAGACCTGTGTAGGGAGATGTGGCTAATCTTGTTTCCCTTGCTGCATGAAGCTCTCCAGTAGACGTAGAAGACGCAGATAACATAGTCCTGTGAAGCAAAGTTGCTTGAAATGTTTTCTTTTTGATACTTTGTTTGGCAATTTGAAAATGTTTGGGATCGACTTCTCATCCCAAATTGTAACTTCAGAACTGGTCTGCGTTGATGTCTATCTTAGACTAGGAAGTGAGGTAGTCGAGCGCCTCGACCACTCCACCTACTCAGGAAGTTGCACCAGTCATGGTCGGTCAGTGATTGACAAAATCTTTGCACAGATACAAGTGGCTCGATTGGCTTTTGCCAACTTATGCTCTCCATGATGCCACGAGAAATGCAGTTGCTCCCTGAATTTCAAGTGTACTGAACAGTAAGCATTTTATTGTCTTCTGCTAGTCAACTATGAAACAAAGTCCTCAAAGATAGAGGGTATCGAGAGCTTTTACGTGTTCGATCACCGTTGCCTGCATACCACTACTGGTCCTGTGTCATGGAACTACTACATTAGTAATGTAGAGGTTGAAGGTGAATCGTTAGGCAAAAAGGTTAGTCGCACACTTTTGTCGTCTCAGGTGGTAGAGACATTTCAACGTAAACACCTCTGCGTGCAATGTTAGCCGAAGTAGCTTCAGGAAGGAGAAAAGTAAGAATTAGCCAAACTGAAATATGATGTCAATTCATGAAGTCTTTGACTGTTGATCTGAACCATGTAGAGGAATGTGAACATTTCTGTTGCGGTTGGCATGACAAATGAAAGTGTTGGTTGCAGTCATTGGGTGATATGGCTCAGAATCAGATATCCGGATCCTTATTTTAATCGTCATATTTCACTTCAATATTGCTTTACTCCCACTACCTCTTTTCATTTGACTTTCTACGACTTCTGATTACATTCACCTTCCTTATTTTTCTATCTTTCATCTTGTTAGCTTGTATCTTGATGTACTGATGTGAGGTATGATAACCTGGACTGTTACACAGCATCGTCAGGTTCCATGTTGACATCGACTGACTGAATGACTAACCAGCAAATTGGAATTTGGACAACAAAAGCTGAATGCAACTACGTAACTTTAATTTAACGGTTCCCATCATAAACCGGCATCACATAGGGAAGTGTTGTGAACTAAGGAGTACTAGACAGCTGCTTTGTCCTAGTTTACGACTTTTCAGAAACTTCCATCCACTAGTTACTCACCTGAACAATGATTCCGTCCTCATCAAAGACTGACTTTGAAATCGTTTCCCGAAAATCAGAGAGAAACAGCAATTTGAGGGATCAGCCAAATGAGGAGCGAGGATCCATTTTCATTGATGATACTGACTGATAACGATCTAACAGAGGTTTGAAAATTCGGACCATTAAACTCGAACCTAGTGGCACTGTTCTTGTCGAAATGTCTGAAGGCCTCGGTCCGACACCACATAGTTTTGAGTGATCACTATTGTATTGCTTCTAACTAGAGCAAAATAACAGATAAGCGCTTAGTGAATCTTAATACTTCTTTATGTGACATCAATTTATGATACGAATGCTTTTTCGATCAGTCGACTCTTCATTTTAGGATATACGATTATTTACCTGGAAATCCATTTATCACTGATTGAGTTTATTGAAATCTCACTCTTAGAGTCAGAGAGTCAGCTTACTAGCTCGTGGGTCTATCTCAGTCGCCTAGTTATAGGCTATTCCCAAACACCCCCTGAAATGCTATGTACATTATATATATATAATATATATTACTACTACCTTGCTGGTATTCGTCCTCCTTTTATATATTCCTTCCATTGCAAACGGCTGGGTCGTGGACCAAGTTAACATTGCTAAAAATTCTTGCAGCAGTGCATTATAAGTCATATTTAACCCATAAATCATTCGATTGCACGTTAGAATTCCCGCTACTAAATAGAAATAATAGACCTACAACTATTTTCACGCGGTTTAGATAGTTCGAGTATCTTTTAGAACTGGAAAAATCACCAGTGAGAAGTTGGTGATTTCACTTTAACTTGCCTTATTAGGTGCGGAGACACAAGGCTGAAATTTACACGAAATTTGTATCTAAAGAAACAAGATATTTGGAAATACAGGGAGATGACATCTATGTGATAGATTCTGCGTCACATCACTTGGGGTTATTAGCCATATATATATATATATATATATATATATATATATATATATATATATATATATATATATATATATAAAGCAACAGTAGAAACGAAAGTCCACCTCAGCCGTACCGAGTTACTAACTTTATGGATTGATACCATGCCGTATGCTGGTCACTCTTAGCACTCTTATGCTTGAATCTTACTCCAACCAACTTCAGATTTTGTGATAGGTGACGACTTCTCATAAGTAGCGGTGTGTGAAATAGACCGAAATCAAAAGTACTTACCACAGATATTGTCTTGACTTTGAACTTTAAAACCGTCTTACATTGTTAAAATACGACAAAAATGGTGAATAATTACTCCCAGTTCTCAAATACTGCAGAGAAAAAAGCTGCTTACAAAGAAATATCATTCACATTGCTCTTGATTAACATTAACATATGCAAACATGAAGCTGCGTCAAGATACAAACAAAAGAAGCAATTTTCCAAATGCTAAAGCATTACTTACAATTAGAGTATATGGAGCCTTGGATTCAGCTATATGGTCTGCATTTAAATCATACCCTGATGGATCACTTGCAGTTGCATTGCTGGTCTTATCATGATCTGGATTAGGATCACACCAAACCTCTTCAACTACACGAAATCTACAATTCATAGTAAAATCGAAGCACACTTCATAAAATCTGAATGGATGTTTATAAAATAATAACTCATGAACAACATACATGCTTGAAAACAGGACGATTGTATATATATATATATATATATATATATATATATATATATATATATATATATATATATTGCAGAAAAACAGTGTTCGAAAGATGAAAGAGTTCGAGCTATTAGAACCAAAAGGTTGATCTTTCATACTCTTTGTATGAATAACCACTTATTTATTTATGGAACTTTGTGTTAAAGGAAAATATTACCACACATCAATAATGAACAGTACTAAACAGAATGCACCAAATCTATCCAATCACTCTATCGGTAACCGGTTCTGTCAATTTAGTAAAGACTACAGAGGAAATCTTGATTCTTGGTATGCGTAAATAAATCAAGCCCAGGCAGTAAAATTATGGCATTTGGTCTACACAGACACATTAAACTAATGTAAAACCTCGCACACAAGCGTATCAGTCCAAGTTACCACACTTCACAGCACCATCCGAAAAAGAAGTGGAAAGAGGAACAGAGATGTCAGACTACACAAAACTGTGGAGGAGGCAAAACAATTCGAAGACAAAAATTCGTGAAAACATTCAGCTTATAGAAGACTTCAAACAGTGAATACATCTTCGTCATTGTTACTCATTTTCGGTCATGCCACCAAGAGTCTGCAACCTGTTACACTGCTCAGACCAATAGTCAGAGGCTTGATGGACTGGTGTAACGTGTGGCCTCGGCCTTAATGAGCTTCCTTCTAAGCTAACCCAACTTCTCCTAGCACACCCAGGAGACAGAGGCTTGGTATAAGCAGCAGACGTCAAAGCCACAATGCTGAAAAGAAGATGTCTAGATTCTCAAAATACTGATTCCTATTATTTCGAGCGCCCTAAACAAGTAGTTCATCCCTCCATACACAGCCCAGACCAACAGCCACAGACCTGATTGCTCGCCTTGGTCTGACCTCAATGAGCTTTCTTTCAACCCATTTCCCCCCCAGGTAATATTGCACGACAAGGCAAGTAGTGGCTCAGCATGGGCAACACACGTCAAAACCACATCAGTCAGTCAAGGTTCACTAACTCACCAACTAGCCTATCTGTCTTGCACTGCATGCTTCGCCTAACATCGACATTACTCATACACCAGAAATGCTGCGAAGATACCTGTGGTCAAAAACCTGTAATCTCTTCCCATTATTTACTTTCAAAGGTCACGTCTCACGGTCGTGTAACAGGACAGAATGAACAACAGCTCAGTACACTCGTCCCTTAACAGGTGGTCGGATATTCCGACAGTCGGTCCCAGAGATGAGGCAATTTCGCAAACGACTAACGGACCTTCAGTATCCGAGATGAGATTTCGTCAGCAACTAGCTAGTCCGGGCTAATGCAACTTCCCGAAGTAATTGAGGTGGTCTGTGCATTTTACCACTCTACTCTCTATTCTCGAAGTGGGAGTAGCAGCAAACCAGTACTGTAGCATCATCTTACATTTGACAGGTGAGAAAATGCATTTCAAACACACTCAGATGTCTGCTCAACGCGTTCAGAAGACCCTGCATTTTGTCAGCATCTTCATCCACCAGGACAATATCGTCTGCATACTCCAAGTAAACCAGATGACCTCTAAAGAGTAGATCAATTCCTGTAAGTCAGACGTACCTAATGTTACGTCCATTAGTACGTCAGTGACGAAGCTAAAAAGGAACAGAGACATTAAGCATCCGCGGCGGACACCACTAGTTGTCATCAGTTCATATGACGACTCCCCATAAGCACTGACATAGCTACGTGAACTTGAGTAGAGAGCTCTGATTACGTTATATACTTGCTCGATACTCTCTTCACATTCAGATACTGCCACAACACGTCAGGTCAACGGAGTCAAGTGCCGCGATCAGGTCAGGAAATATCACCAGCGTCGGCTGCCGATAAGTATGCCTATGTTCCACGATCTGCAAAGGGTGAAAATCTGACCGATTTGTCCTCGTTCAGGTCTGAAACCTACCTGGTCTTCTCGAGTATGCTGTTCTTGAGCTTCAGTTAGACGTCGAGATAACTATGGACTCCAGGATTTTGGACACATTATTAGTCAGACTGATTTCCCTAACGTTATCAGAGGGAGACTTCTATGCTTTCCTGTGCACTGGAATAATTAGTGAGGCAGACCAGTGTGACGGGACTACCCTGATTTCCATACCTTACCTACTAACTCCGCTAATCCACTCGCTAATTTCCTACCTGCATTCTCAAAAACTTATAGTGGCAAACCATTAGGTCCTGCTGCTCAGCCCTCTTAACCTCCAGGAGAGTCCGAGGACCAACATTTACGTCTCATTCAGGTAGGAGATGGATGCTAAGCAACTGAAGCGTTGGTGTGATTCAGCCAAACTGTGCTTGAGTGTTGCACTCAACGTTCTAGTCACCTGTCATCAGTACTTATCAGTGTTCCATACTTTCCAGTTATGATTTCATTAACCAACATCTTGCCAGCATCATTAATAAGCCTAAACAAGTGACTGGCATTACCAAATACAGATGCCTTCTCCATCTCTGGCTTTTGCCACCATCACTGCTCGGAATCATTTCGAAGACTTTTCATCAATTTACGTCGAAGTCACTTTCGATATTGATTGTGGTCAGAGACAGCTGGAATCCGTCTTCTAGCAGCAATCAGTTCAGATGATGCTGTGGAAATCGATTGACGCTTGCTAACCTTCGGGTGTAGGTTACCAAATGTCCACGTTGTTTCTACAGCAGACTGAACATCATGCCAGGCTTCCTCAGGATGAGTGTCGCTTTAATGTGCAGATAAATGCTTAGCTAACTCCTCCTTAAATACGTATTTGGCGTCCTCATCTTCTAATAGAGCATAGACAGGCTTTACTATTGCCTATTTCCTGCTACCAGTAAGGCGCAGACATACACGAGCCTGTACTAACGCGTGATGGGAGTCCAAAAGGGGACTCCAGAAAGGGAGGCAATCCCCCATCGATTCTCTTCAACAATGGCTTATAGTAATATGATCTACTTGTGTTCGTCGATGGTTTGATTTCGATAGAAGGTATGTGAGGCAGTATTTCTCCTCATGCTTGAAGTTCGTATTGGACCAGACAAAAGTTATCGCCAGAACAAAACTGCTACAGACGATCACGTTGTCAGTTCGTTGGCATGGGATTCCACCACAGCTACCTCCAGGATGTCTTTCCGACTGGTTCAGCTTTCCTACTAGAGGGTTTAAGTCTACTTCTACTACATCTAGACGACTTACTTTCGGTAGCAAAATTGACAGCGTCTCACAGAATTCGTCCTTTATATCATCAGAACTGCAGTCAGTGGGCGTGTAGGCTGAGATTACGAATAAGCATCGGCAAGTTTCACGATCCTTCCTAGTTCTTACAGATCCACTTAGTCGAACAGCACACAGACGGCTGTTCACTGGTATTCAGTCGAGAAGTCCGCCTTCTGCTCTACAACTGAGTGCTATGCCTACACCAGTGAGTGCCATTAGATCTCCAGAATTTTGAAGATTCACAACATTGGTCAGATGAAGTCAAGTCAATAACCACACTCTGGTCCTGTACACGCACACCAAAAACAGCATTCATCCATAACTCGAGATTCCAGAGTTCTGGCGAGCGATACTTGATGTTCAATTTGGCATAGGGCTTGAACTACTGGTCATCCATAGGAAACACCTCACTGGCTGTTACACCCCATTCGACCAGCAGTACAACTTTGCCCTCAGACCCGCATTATAGCGTAGGAAATTATACAACAACGGTAACTGTTTTCGGCCTTACTACTAGTCAACAGACCTTTCAGGCATGGTAGGATCTCTGGGGAACAAGTGTTCTAGCAGGCGTAGCATGTTAGGTCACTATGATATGCAAGCCCGATCGTCATTTTCAGGCAGCAGCTGTCTGTTGGGATTAAAACGCGATTAAACATATTGCTGAAATACCATAAGCTATGTAACTGCAGACAGTAAATTGTCTTTCTTTCTATGGCGTAAACCCCAATGGTAGTATCTAAAGTTGTTCAGTATTATCTATTTGACTGAATTCCATTCTCGAAAACTCAAAACCAACTACTGAACTAATATCCTCCGAAAAACTAACAGTTCAGATAAACGAGCTAAGTTGATTTTTGACTTGATAAAAAGCAGTCGCTAAAAATGCATCTCATTGGTGGATAACTTTTTTTGAAAATAGTATACAACTTCCCCTTGACGATAACAGCCGGGTGACAACACTGATCTGAACATAATAATATAAGCTTGAGTGCAACATATTAACTTAGACTGTATTGGCATTATTCAATAAGTGTTTCATTTTATTAACCTCGCCTGGTTAACTAGTTCACTAGTTACTAGCCGGTCCTAAGCCCAGATAAAGAGGGAAGGTTGAGCATACGGCTAGCAACCCTACCCCGAAAAACCAATCCAATCGCTAAAGAAATTTCAAAGCACAAAGAAATTATAGAAAATAAAAACAAATTTATTCCTTGCTGGAATCGGAGAGACGAAATGACGCCAGTTAGTGAAAGCATTCAGGAAACCAATTGGCCTATGTGTCATCTCTTCTCTAGATGAAAGCGAAAGTAAACATGGGGACATGGAATGTCCGCACTATGTTTGAACCTGGCAAGGCTGTCCAGATTGCAAAGGAGATGAAGAGGTATGACATAGAAGTGCTTGGAATCTGCGAAAGCAGGTGGAATCTCCAAACTATCAACTGGAGAGTCAACAATCTACTCCAATATTGTCACCCAGACGACAACTATGAGCACACTGAGTTGTGGAGTGGCTATCATGACGTGCCGTACACCATCGAAGACTCTCTCTCATGTAGTGAGAACCAATCTCCTCAACGATCAGGATCATGATAGCAAGATGGATTCAACTCAGAAGGAAGGAAAGTTACAATCATACAATGCTACGCTACGCACCTACAAATATTGCTGATCAAGAGAAGAAGGAGGA